ACTCGGTATACAGAGGTGAGGCGGCTTCCGTCCTAGATCTCCAGTGCCGAAGTTACGTCAACACTTGGTGCCCAGTGTCGGCGGCTTCAGCACTGGAAACTCTAAATCGGCAAATCAAACCTTGTCTTTAAAAGGGGTATAGAGATGCCGCCTTTGAACTCTAACACTTATATTTTCGAGATCGTACCGCCCGGGAAGCAAATTATAATCGGGGCGACAAGGTGATCGGCAGGACAATACTGCAAGGCTCAGATCCTCACATTTTTACAGACATAGACTTGGCCTACGATACTGTACTTTACGCCGCGCGGCCGACGTAAGCACCAGAGGCCCAGTGCCGAAATGATTTGAGAACTCGGCTCCCAGCGCCAAGAGTCACCGAGCACTGGAACGATCCAGTGAGGAACCCGTTACTCAGGGACTTCGGCACTTGCTATCCAGTGGTGAACGGCCTCCGAGCACTGGTAGCGAGTGCCGAGTGGAATTCAGCACTAGCTATCCAGTGGTGAACGGCCTCCGAGCGCTGGCTATCCAGTGCTGAACGGCCTCCGAGCTCTGGCAAACGAGTGCTGAGTGGAAGTTAGCACCGGGAAACGAGTGCCGAGTCAAGATTCAGCTCTTGAATTCCAGTCCTGACGGTGTTTCAGCACTGGAACAAAGCCGTTTCTGCACTAGAATTCCAGTGCGGAGCTTTCTTCCGCACAGGGCCCCGAGTGTCGACGCCACTTTCCCCGTGAGTTCCGCACTGGGCGGCCAGTGAGGAACCCGTTACTTCGGTACCCTTGCGTATGTGTGTTGTGTGTGTGTGTGTGTGTGTGTGTATGTGTTGTGTGTGTGTGTGTGTGTGAACGCGTGTAAACGTAGAGAACGCATCGTGAAATGTATCAAGGGAAGCCTGATGCCCCCCTCCCCCTACATATGCACGGGCACTGCAACAAAAAAGCGAACAAAATACAAAATTTCTAACTCAATGACTGTTCCATAAAATGGCACATTTGACAAAATTAACAGTATCATATATCACACTTACTTCTTTTCACCCTCAAAGAGTAGAAATGATTCAAAAGTTGGCGGCGCGTTCATGATGGTACACTGCAACAGCTTTCACGCTACTCTGACGTCATCAAGTAAGGTTCACTCTTTTAATAGGGGTAACATTAAGAATATTATTTTCAAAGACTGCCTTAGCTTAGTTAGTTATGGCTAAGGTCTATTAGGTTACGAATTTATCTTTATCTATAAATAAATAATGATAGCATGAAGAACTTGAGACTATATAACGTTACATAATTTCATCTTTACCGCACGAAATTACATCACACCCACAAATGGTAATGGTATGTTCTATATCAAACTAGCAGGCTGCCCTACGAGTCTTTGTTTGAAGGGCAAACACGCCTCGATGTACTCAGTCAGTTTTTGCTGCTTTCCAGAAGCAACAGGAATTTCATCCCAGGGCAAGAAACTGAGGGTACTTCAGAGCTGTTGCCGATTTTACAGACACAACAGTAGCAAGAAGAAGAAGAACCTATGGACAGCCGGTGTGGTGTAAACATAACGGTACGCTAAACGCTACATAACGTTAACATTGTAACAGTCGAGGCTCAACAGTCGACACACTTCTTATTCATAGTAAAACTTTGGCGGACCTTAAAACCACAAAGATGTTTTAACCTGCAGGAGTCCCTACGACACACCTGTAACGGCTGTAGACTTCGATATAACGTTAGGTATCAATTTGTAAACATCAACGGCATTTCGAATTCAGGCTACTAGACTAGAGTACTTTGGGTTAAGTCTAACGTTAGTCTACATAACATGTATGGCGTCGGGTGGTGTAGTGGTTAGAGCAATCGACTGTGAACCGGGAGACCCGGGTTCGATTCCGAGTCGTACCCGGGACACGTCTGAACATGCGCCCCGACGTTGTGCCCTTGGGAAAGGCACTTTACACGAATTTCCTCACTCCACCCAGGTGTGAATGGGTACCTAACTTCGGTTGGGGAAAGTCGTATTGAGGTCACCTTGTGGCGCCGAATGGCAGCCGCACAGACCCTTGCGACAGTTCCACAAAAATGATTGTGGAACAAATATGTGTATTATTTGTATTATTTGATTGTTGTAATTGTTGTGATTTGTATTGATTATTATGTGATACCCTGCACCAATTCAGCCGTATAAAGGCTGCGACTGCACGGGTACTGTTTGGACAATAAAAACCATTTATAAAAATGTAACAACGTTAACGTTTATGTCTGCAATGTTAAAAAGTTGTATAAAACACATTGTCCTTCAAGAATAGTATCATTTGGTGAAGGTTAAAACTAATGATCACTAATAACTTGCGTGTGTGTAATTAGTTAAATCTTCATCTTTGCCGGGGCTCAAAGATGTTATGACTTATGTGAGTCCCGGCTACACCCCCATATAGCCCCTGGTGGGGCACTTTGGGGTATTTTATATAAATTAAATAATGTTAACATCAATGATTTAACATTCACTCACTCACTCACTCACTCACTATCCTGGTTTAGATTTTACTGCTGCCGGTTTCCCTGTCCCAGGGGTGGGCAGCAGTCGGCAGCATACATTAACCATTTGAATGGTCCTTCCAGACATCCACAGCACAAAAGTGCAAGCGGCTAGGAAACGTTAACATTAACAGTTAGATTAAAATATTAGTTCCTCATTTATTGCTAAAAACCCAATTCTCACTTGCAGTGTGTCATTTCAGATAAACTTTGCTGATGGACATGAGTGAGTCATGACACCTGCCGTATCATGGACAAACACACGGACACCTCACCCCTCCTGCACTCCACAGTCAACAAGATGCTCAGGATGATTAACGTTACATCCAACAGAAAAGCCTTGGGTTCCAGATGTCTGTTGTTTCCCCTTCTGTTCCTAATGGTGTACTTGTTACTGCATCTTCAACTGGGCAACTTTGTTTCTATCTGGGACTCCAACAAGAGGGAAGCTGAGTGGAGGCACGTCTCTCGTCTCCAGAGCCTGGTCAGTCACCTTAACCAGCAGCTCCTAGAAACTGTAGCAGAGAGAGATTTTCTCCACGAACAAGTCAGACATATAGTAGGTAACTTGAGTCAGGGAAAACACCTCCAGGACATGGAGCTAGACCTGGATTCGGTTCTCTTTGGATTGAATGGAGCCCGAGGGAGACCTGCATGGACACACACACACACAGTCTGGGGCTGTACAGAGATCGATGCCATACAGATCACAGGAATTGTGAAGATAGGGGGCAAGATACTGGCAAAGGGACTGTATGGAACAGAGATGGTGGCAGTAAAAAGTGTGAATGTTGATTTGCCGGAAGTTGAAACATGCCTCAAAGCAAAAAAGTACATTAACAAGGATGACTGCTTCCTTCTTCCCAGCTACAAGTTGATGAAGGAGATACTGTTGCTTGCAGAGTTGACTCACCCAAATGTAGTTCGGATGTTGGGGTACTGTGTACGCGGTGAGGGCACCAGTCAGGACAGGGGAGTCACACTGGTGATGGAGATTGGAACTCCCATCCAGGACTATGGGCTGGAGACTTTACCATGGAGACACAGGGTAAAGGTAATGTCAAGCACTCCCTCTCTATGGCAATCACATGAGATCTTTATTTGCAATCAGATACATATTCATGTACAGATACAGAATGATTCATGTACAGATACAGATTCATGCAACAGTTACATTATACAGATTCATGTACAGATACAGATTCATGTACAGATATACAGATACAGATTTTCCAAGTAGGATGACCGTGTGACTGTCAGTCCCTACACCTGAGTTATAGACATGTAGATGTCAAGTAGAGATTGTGATTTGGCTGAATTCTGCCAGTAGAGATGGCACTGTATCAGTGTCTCTGTGGGTAGACACAGGAAACAGATCTAGAGTTTCGGTCAGCAATGTAACCCTCAACACTGCTTGGTAGAATTCAGAAAATTTACTTCAAAGCCAGAAAATTGGATGTGTTTGCTGTTATCTGTTCTGTTCCCTTTTCTGATCTATTCCCCTGAATCCCAATTTTGTGCTGCCATTGTCAGATTTGCCTGGATTTTGCCAGTTTGCTGGGAGTTCTGGAGCACTCGTCCATGGGAGCGCTGCTGCTGGCTAACTTCTCAGACAGCATGTTCATGGTGCGGGAGGGTTCTGTGCGGCTGGTGGAGGTGGGCAGGCTGGTGGGGACACAGCCGCGGTGTACCTCCCACTCTGACTGCCAGCTGGAGGGACTGGACACCAGTATGGCACACAGTCAAATCTTTTCTGCAGTGTAGACTTATACAAATGCATTCTTATATCCCACTACACAAAATAGCGTTTTTTAAAAGACATTGCATTAATGTTCCAATGAAAAGCAAACAGGTGAGTAAATTTTGTAATAAGAATTGTTATAAAATTCTGTATTACATAATACTTCATATGTGCAGACATGTTTGTAGATGTCCTGGAAAAGTCTGTCAGGTAGTCAGATTTGATTATCAGAAATATACTCTAGGTTAGGATAACTGGATAACTGAAAAGGTTAGGATAACTGGATAACTGAAAAGCGATAAAAGGCTAGCTAGCAGCTTCCTTGTAAGGTCATGTAAAATTACATTGAAATGAGCACATGGTCCAGTAGATATGTTGTTAAAAGCACATGCAGCACATGGTCCAGTAGATAGCACATGCAGCACATGGTCCAGTAGATAGCACATGCAGCACATGGTCCAGTTCTGTGAAAATCTTTGGGTTCAGAACCTGCCAACCCGGTCAAAATGGGTTAAATAAGGTTCGATTGGGTTCCAAGGGTTAAAGTGGGTTGTAGTAAATATTAGTGAGTTCAGAACTGCCCCGGTCCTGTGACTCTGAACCCTCATTAGCAGGTTCACTGGGTTAAAACAGGTTCAGCTCGGCCCAACCTTCTTAATTGATAACATTTCCTTACCTCCTGGAAATAATGAGAATATCACATGATCTTCACCAAATCAGTGATTGGTGCATTTGTACTGAGAGAACAGTTGGTTCAAAATTTGAATCCAGAAGCCAGTCCTCAGCCAGGGAACAGGGAAGTCTGCTTTTCTCTCTGTGTTTGTGTCGGTAATCATTCAGGGCAGTTTTCAAGCTAAACTTGTGTAGAGAAATGGAGAAGAGAGGCTGGGTGAAGACATTGGCAAAGTAACTGCATGTATGGAAGAAGGAATACTCAGGAAACGGAGATTCTACTTCAAGGTAAGTTCAACAACTCCCCACCCCCTCAGTGTGAATTTCTTTGAAAACAGGCTACTGTTTGCACATAATTTGAAAAATCGGTAGCAAGATCAACAAAGTAAACAACTCAACTGCCAGCCTTAAGGAATCTTTCTGAACTATAAATATGTTGAAAAGACCTACATGTATATATATGTTGTTCATGCAGATTAAAAAACAAAGTAGGTTTTCTGATGTAAATAAACTTGTTCAATTTGTGTGTGTACTTAGCTGAAAGTATTGTTGTTTGTATTAAATCCGACAAAAAGGTAGGAAATAAGACATTGTGTCTAGCATCTTCCCAACAACTTGGACATTTCAGGGCCTCCTTGTTCAGATTCATGCTAGCGCTGTTTTATCAAGACGCTCCTATAATGTTACGTGAGACGCTTCTGCAGCATCTGTGATACGTTAGTTGGCATTCCTGGATGCGCTAAGTGGGTTCTTCCGGGTTATGTCGGGCTTGTTTCCATGACAACTGCTATTCCCAGGGGTGGGCCAGCGGGTTAAGCCAGGTTCGCTAGCGGGTTCTCCCGGGTTTGTTGCCATGACAACCGCCAATCCCGGGTGCCGCCAGCCGGTTCAGCCGGGTCCAGCCGGAGGGTTAAAGCGGGTTGACAGGGCAGGTTCCCATGGGTTCAGAACCTGCCCTTCAGGACCCATTTTGACCTGGTTTTAGTGGGTTAAAATGGCCAGGACCGGCCAAAATGGACCCATTTTGACCCATTAAGAGGGTTCAGGCAGATTCTCCAGGGTTCATCTGGAGATTGAACCGGGAAAGTTTGGGTTCTCCCGGTTAAAAATCTGACGTGAACCTTAAGGTTATTTTGGGTTCGGGAGGGTTCTGGACCCAAAGATTTTCACAGAGGAGATAGCACATGCAGCACATGGTCCAGTTACCACATGCAGCACATGGTCCAGTAGATAACACATGCAGCACATGGTCCAGTAGATAACACATGCAGCACATGGTCCAGTAGATAGCACATGCAGCACATGGTCCAGTAGATAACACATGCAGCACATTGGTCCAGTAGATAGCACATGCAGCTCATGGTCCAGTAGATAACACATGCAGCACATGGTCCAGTAGATAACACATGCAGCACATTGGTCCAGTAGATAACACATGCAGCACATTGGTCCAGTAGATAGCACATGAAGCACATGGTCCAGTAGATAGCACATGCAGCACATGGTCCAGTAGATAACACATGCAGCACATGGTCCAGTAGATAACACATGCAGCACATTGGTCCAGTAGATAACACATGCAGCACATTGGTCCAGTAGATAACACATGCAGCACATGGTCCACTGTCTATTCTGTCATTGATTTGGCTTTCCCTCTGCAAAACCCAAAGTTCATGGTTTGCCCAGGATGCACAGATGTTTGCACTGTTGTGGTGATCAATTTGTTTATGTAAATGTACTAGTTTGGCACTTAAGGTGACTGTGTTTCTAACAGACTGTGATTTGGTTATACTGTGATTATTATTCGAATGAAAGCTCATCTGTGTTGGTAGAATCCATAGTTAAAGAGTTTGACTTGTTCCAACACAAAAATTGGAACTCACCATAAATTTTCGGCTAAACCGTGATGGTGGGAGATACCGTCTTCCCACCACTTTTGATGCACTCCTGACGTCATCACGTTTCCGACTTCCGGAAAGTCAGCGACTGCATCACAAATCTGACGAAGGTTGACGGGATCAGCCGAAAATTTATGGTGAGTTCCCTTTTTGTGTTGGAACAAGTCAAA